AATCCCACCTTGTCTCACTTCATCGTGCCCTTCCCACGTGTCCTTAGATTTTAATGGCTGAATTTATTTATATTTTAATGTATATTTGTAAACATATTTTAATGACTGTAATCTACCCTTATGGTAAGATGGGCGACCAATACATTTTAGAAATAAATAAAAAATACCTCTCTTACTGGATCTAACTGGATGGGTAGACACCATTAGGAAGAGACAATCTCAGGTAGGTAGGTCCCGTAAATTATTTTTAGTTTTCTTTATAGTTTTGCATAGCTTTCAAATGCTATGGACATGATTCATAAAGACTAGTATATAAATATTGAATAAATATAAACAATAGTTACCCGACATTAGTGCACAATGGAGACTTCCCATGGCAAATTTTAACTTTATATTACAAGTTGCAATTATTATATGCTGCTCCTTCCATGACACTCTTTTTAAAAAATATCAGTAATAGTGTACTATGAAGAACTAAACCACCATATTTCGGCACATATGAAAACAGCAGCTCCTTTGAGAAGTCTATAATGCTGGGAAGGGTGGAAGGAGTCACCTTTGGCCAGATGGGCGGCATACAAGTTTGATAAATAAATAAAGGAAGGAGAAGAGGACAATGATCAGCAGCAAGATGGTTGGCATTCGATTACAGTGACAATGAGTGCATTGTTAGAAGGACCCGAAGAGTCAACTTGGGGACAGATTGTTCTGGAGCCTATGGAGTCACTAAAAATCAGTACCAATTTGATGGTACACAATTAAGCAGAGAACTAAGAGTCATTTGATTTCCAAATGTAACCAAAACTATTGGTATTCCCAAGTTTCCTCCAGAAAATCCCAATTTGCTATGAAATAAAGTATATGGCATCTACCATTCTTTAGTTCATATGGTGCACACTTTGGGCAAAAGTTGAGGTATTCTTTGGTGCAAAGTTGAGGGGCACTAATACTTTTGGCTGTACCTGTACCTCACTATATATGGATCCACATACAAAACCAGATGGGCAAAGCATCACTGTAGTTAGGTTTCATGGTGGGGACATTGGTGCTTGTTTCAGAGCAGAAACAGCATCACTAGTACATCCAGGGCTTGACAGCAGGTAGGGGAAGGAACATTTTGCATTTCAAAGGATTGGGATATTTTTCAGATTTTCTGAGGACACATCAAAGAAATAAAGTGGACCTGTGCAGAGAACTGGATTTGAAAAACAAAATATCTTTTGGTTCATGAATGTAAGTACAAGTACCACCTGTTGGAAATTTCTTAAGCCAAATGTGCATTTTCCAGGGATTGCATACTAAGTTATGGAGAACCACCACCAAACTTAGGAAAAAATGCAGATGCTTTATGGTGTTCTCAAGAAGTGACATATAATGTACAAAACATTCTATCCTCTGAAGCTAGCTACCTGTATAGTTCTAGGATGAAAGAGTCCTTGAGTCCATCTGGTCCTATAACAGTTTATTTGTTGATCCACAGCCTTAAAAATTATAGATGATCCAACAATGGTGCTCAATTTTTCTACTAGGGCACCAAGTAACTAATTCAGCTGTCTTGCCCAAAGATCTCTTTTAATATTAGTTCTACTATAACAAGTAACATATGCGACTTCAGAATGGCTTCATTAACTCCATTAAGGGTAATACTATCCTTAGCTGATTGGATTTCAAAAATGTAAAAATGTAAGAAAAGCTGAGTTTAAATTAAAAACCTATACTTGCATTTTTGCAAAATCATTGATCATTTTTATTGTCCAGCAATCATTGATCATTTTTATTGTCCAGGCTAACCAAAATGAATATTGCACATACATTCTTGATAGTTATTGCTAATGTGTGTTGACGTATACTGAACTTTGAATGTATTAAACTTTTGTATTACTTTATTTTGTATACTATCTGGATCATTAGAGTGATAACTTTATTAAAAACCCTACCATATGCAATAGCATTCCTCCTAAGGTCCACACAGATCCAATCTTAACATAACTACCTAACCTTTTCAGCAGAACCAGGGGCAGGGTAATTTGTGATCTACCCCCCCCAAGTTCTGATATTGATTTTAGCCAACTTTTTTTATAAGTTGCAAAATTGCTGTATTAACCCTAATGTGGGCTAATATTTTTGCTGTTATTGTCAGACTGTTTTAATTTCTATTAACTTAATTTTAATGCTTTTAAGGAGGATTTAAAAATCCAATTTATTCAATGAAGCAGACTCCTTAGTAGTGACGGCCGAGAGCTGACGCTGAAAACGGCAAAAGGGCTGTTTTTAAATCTTATTAATAAAGCCATTATGTTTCCCCGAAAGTAAGGCCTACACCAACAATAACCCCTAGCTTGATTTTTGGGGGTGGCTTAATATAAGCCCTATCCCAAAAATAAGCCCTAGTTTTGAGGCAAGGCACACACCTAAAAATCAAGCTAGGGAACGGGTGACGGTGTGGAGCTGTACCACCCGCCCCGCACCCACTTACCTTGCAGCCAGGCCTCTCCTTGCCAGCCCACTTCTTCTTCTGAGGTCTCTTCTGCAGCCAGGCCTACATTTCTCAGTCACAGGGCTTTCCAGAAGCCGAGAACCGAGCTATAGATTCAATCCATAGCTCAGTTCCGCAAGACCTCAGCAGCCAAGCACCAAGCTATGGATTGAATCCATAGCTCGGTACTCGGCTGCTTAGGCCTTCTGGAAAGCAAAATGCAGGTCTGAATGAATGCATTCATTCATTCTGGTCCAGAAGAAGTGGACCAGCTGGCTGTGGCTGTCGGTGCTGGAGGTGAGGAAAGGCTTATTCCAAAAATAAGACCTGGTGCCTCTTTTGGAGGCAAAAAAATAAAATAAAAATAAGACCCGGTCTTATTTTCGGGGAAACACGGTAGATGGCAGACAGATTTAAGATTTTATAATTGTACAGTATTTTCATTTTGATTATAAATTTTTCATGGTCTGTACTAGTTTTGTTCCTTTTATATAATTTTAATTGCTGCTTAATTCTAATATATTTATTTTTACTGTGGTTGGATTGTGCCATGGTGATTGTACACATTGTAAATAAACCCTTGTTACATTCCTGTCTGTTGCCTAGAGTTTCTATGGCAACTGAGAGTTTGAAAGTCAAAGAAATAAGCATTTTAGCATACTTTAGCAAGCATCATGCTAGATCATGAACCATATATAACAATCGCAATATTCATATGACACTTACACTAGTAATTTATACATAATTTATGTATAACATGTTTTTGGACTAAGTCTCTTCATATCTTGCTATTGATTATAACTGAAGTTCATCAAGATTTAAAGGACTTCACATTCCCCAGCCTTGTTTTATGACACAGCAATTGAAGTGGTAGAGCACAAACTGTTCTAATAATTAAGTTAAATATAAACCAGTGGTGAATATATTACGTATACACATAAACATTGCTTAATAAACCTGATTTTTATAAATCAATTTTATAAATCAAATTTTATCAATGCAATACAGTTATTACTTTGGAAATTCCATTCCATTATTCTGAAAATTCTGTTCTACGGTTTTCTTTCAACTTAAATAATTAACAATTTAGAACAGGATAATGCAGAACTCTGTCCAAGGTTGACTGATTAGCCTGGAACTATTTAGCTGAGTAAATAACAATTATCAGCAATTCTAATATCTCACTGAATCCCCTTGCTAAGCTTATTAACAAAGTAACTTTGTTATATACTGAATGCATTATTATAAATATAAAATGTAATAACTAAAAGAGCACTGTAGAACATTACTACAGATATTAACCAAATATATCCTATTCTTTAGATTAATATATTTCTTCAAATGATGGTTAGCAGATTTTACATTTTTAGATTTTACTTCCACACAATGTTTGCCATAAATCATACTGTTCCAGAACTGCCCAGATTATGCCTACAGAAAAGTCTCTTGGTAGAGCATCCTTGAAGGTGACTGTTCTCTTAGACTATGGCATGAAAGCTTTGATAGGGGGAATCTGGCCATTAGTTCTGAGAATTCTAAGTTGAATAATAATTAAGACTCATTTTGTAATAAATTAAAGCAGGTACAATGACAAATAGCAATATGGGCTTCTCTCTTTAAGAAGTTGGAGCCTTGGGCCTGCTTCACTGTTTTTTGAATCTGGCTTTCTACTATATACTACCTACTAGAACTGTTTTTGGTTTACTGACTTATGATGGGAATCAGAGGGACAGAAAAGATCCTGGGCAGCTACTAGTCCAAAATGGATGTGATGGAGCATACTTCTGAATATTATTTGTTTTGATGAACAAGAATAGTAACAATAGTGCTTAGACTTACATACTACTTCACAGTGCTTTATAGCCGGCTCTAAGTGGTCAGCATATTTCCCCCAACAATCTGAATCATTTTACCAATCTCGGAAAGATGGAAGGCTGAGTCAGCTTTGAGCCGGTGAGAATCAAACTGCTGGCAGTCAGCAGAATTAGTTTGCAATACTGCATTCTAACCACTGCACCACCACGGCTCTTCAAATAATGTTTGGCAGATTTTACATTTAAAGGAGGAACCCTATCCAGATATCTTGCTTTAGGGTTTTCAGAGTCCAGCTGACACTCAGGAAGCAGAATTATGGGACGATAAGTCTATAGTTTGATCCAGAAGGTTCTTATAATACAAATTATTTGTTCTGCTGCTGAGTTGTTCTCTGACCCTCTCTCTATACCATCTATTTATATAGGAGTATATGTGTATGTGTGTGTATATCTACTCCATCTATATGTGTGTGTTTGTGTATATATGTAAATTACTTATTTTTACAAAATGTACTTATTTTTACAAAAAAGAATTTTACTTATTTTTACAAAAAAAAAATCTTAGTTGAATGAAAAATTAGAAATCAAGAAGCAACTTTCCTCTTACACATGATTATCAAAGACATACTAGAGCATTTAGATACTATCACAATTTCATTTACAACATTGTTGTTCAATGTACATTGCTTCATAGTCACGACTTCTATTACCTGTTCTTTATTATTGCTGTTCAATAAGCCAGGTTTCTTTTTCTTTTTAATTGGGCTTGTTGATGAATCTTCAGGGGAATGACCATTAGAAGAGTGTGGCGGACTTGGAAACTTCCTTTTTTGAGCTGTACGTTCAGCAGAGCCAGGATCTTTTTAAAAAGATTAAAGAATTACAACACTGAAAAATTATAGGATATTATTACACTTGCACTACTTTTTAGTAACGGACACAATAGCATTTACCTTTGGAGATTTAAAAGTGAACTGGATTTTAAAAATAGTTTTAATTAAGAATCTGTATGTCATTTTTCCAAACAGAAATCTTGTGCCAAAAAATCTGTACATAAATTAATAGCAAACTAGTGATATCTAAAAATACATCCACCTCGGTAGAATGATATAGAATTTTTTCCAAAGACCCATTAGCAGAAGCAACAAAAATAAAATGAATTAAATACCATGGTGCAACATATACATAAAATGTTAAAATTAAGCTTAAAAGGCCAGAGAAAGTTTAAAAAGTAATCCTAGAACTGAACTGACATCTGAATAAGTGCTCTGAGCAGGATATTCCAAAGCAGAGTGCTCATGGAGTTTTCATTTTCACATTCAGATTTAAATTTATTTGTAATGTGAAAAACATTGTTTCACTAATATATTGCATCCAAATGTAGCAAAAAAAAAAAAACTGGGTAAAAATTTACCTCTCCATTTTATCTATTATCCATCTGTAATTAAGAAGCCAAGAGAAATTAGAAAAAATATGAAACTGAACTTAAGAGTAGAGTTATATTACTTTAAAGTTCTATACAGTTTTCAGTAACAGTATGGGCCTAGTGAGAGGCTATATAAAATCCAGCATCACTGTTAAACACAACTGAAAAATCAATAGCTTAAAATAATTTTTGGGCTTTTTTTAAAAAAAAAACATTTTAGTTCTGCCACTGATATAAAAGCAAGTGCTCTAGAAAGGTTCTACTGCCAATATAAAGCATGCCCAGAAATCTTAAATTAATTTTAAGATTGCATATTCACATGCAAATTTTTCAGTAGTATGTATGTATGTATGTATGTCAGTTATCACATCAACTCACATCATATCTACGTTTATGTTAATCATAAAATACATCTGTTGACTCTTTCCCCAACTAGTATGGCTAGCCAACAATCAGTGCTGACTTAATCTGTTGCCTAAATTCAAGATACATGAAATGTACAGTCAAAATTAAACAGAGAATGTATGAAACAGGTTGGTTTAAAGCTACAATCATTGGTCAGCTGAGATCAGGAAAGGTGTACCTCCTAAGTTGGATGAGAGTAAGCCTTATGTGAACAAGCAATAGCAGTATAAAAGCCATAGCAATTGGGGAGGAGTCAGAAGCATAAACAGGCACATTCCTTGTTTGTATAAACATGATATATAAAGTACCAAAACACCTAACATCAGCTTCTATTTTAATTAAATAGCTAGGAGCAGTTTCACATGACTAAAATAACTTAAAAACACTAAACAAAACACAGTGACTTCATGAAACTTTATTAATGCAGGTAAATTATTAGAATTCTGATACTGTCCAATGTAATAATTCTTCATCTAGAATATTTCCTCAAAATACTCCTCATAATATTCCATTTTAAATTATTATTCCCGCATAATGGAGTGTTCTTAGACAATTAGTTCTATTACTACGAACAAAAATTAATGACCAGCAACCCTTCATCTATAAATTTAAGAACTCGCAAAAACAGTCTGATACAAAGCATAGAAGTATACAAGAAGTCACTACATGCAAATCCTTACTCTTTGCCCAATTTTAAAATTGTAAACAATTAGGCCAGCTGGCCTCTTGTGGAACTGGAACAACAAGCTCCAATCCTTTTCCGTAAGAAAAAAAAAAGACTGGGTTTCTTTAGTTTATGTGTTTCTAAACCACAATATTTCCCAACATCTTATTATGTTAGTAACATGTGGAACAATGTAAATACAGTAATCAAAATGCATAAAATGAATAATATGTATTTTTCATAATATGTATTTTTTTTCAAACAGAACAGAATACTGTGCTCTGGGAATTCAGTCTATATCCTGGACCAGCCCATTCGAGACATAACAAAATCCCACATGTGAAAGAGTTACAACCATTCCAAATAAATGAAATAATGTAGCTAAAAACAGATTTCTTGCCTATAAAAATCTGGATGGCCACTAAATGAAAGCAAAGACTTACAGAAAAATCTAGCTAGTTGCTGCTGGGTAACAATTATTCCATTTTTTAAGAGTCCAGATGTGGTAACTTCCTCTTAGTTTTCTTTCAATTAAAAACATAATTTGCTCCTGATAGTATCCTAATTAAAAAGTTTATGAGGAGAGATAAATTGCATTCATCTGGCACACAAGACACAACCTGTTGAATCAATTACCTCTTCCATGGCAGAATATACAAAATAAATTCCAATTAGTCTACTAGGGGCTACTTTAAAACAATGTTTTAAAGCAAAACTTCAGTCTCTAATTTGCTTCTTGTCCACCTAATCTTGAAGACTTGAAGAACATTGATTATCTCTTTAGATTACATTCCCTCCACCATGGCTGGTTTCTACAAACAAGTAAAAAAGGAAAATAATAGCAGTTTCTTTCTGTTTGTGAAGAGGAATCAATTAGCAAAAGGAAAGAAAAACCTTGGAAACACACCAAAGACACCCCTCTCTGCCTGGCTGTCAGCATTTACATCTTGAATGAAATTACTTTACATTATTTACAGTACACAGTGTAGCACAAAACAAAAAATTATTCATGAACCATACAGGCATGATCAGAAAAGTAACTCTTTACATTTGAAGTGCAAAACAAAAACTGCAGCAAACAGACAAAAAAACTCCAATAAGTTCAAGCATGCTCCTGTAGCAAAGTGCACCATGGCTTATATCAATTGTGTACAATAGCATGAATAGAGAGTAAATACATACGCATAAACACACAATTCTAAGATTACTAACTTAACCAGTAAAGTAGTTTTTACATTTTTAAATACATTCTAAAGCAGTGGTTCTCAACCTTTTTAATGCCGCGACCCCAACCGGTCGTAAGTCGAGGACTAACCCGGTCGTAAGTCGAGGACTAAACCGGTCGTAAGTCGAGGACTGCCCAACCGGTCGTAAGTCGAGGACTACCCAGCCGGTCGTAAGTCGAGGACTTTCCCTGCCCGGGAGCGCCGCGCATGCGTGGTTCCTCCCCCTGCGCCGGCCGAGGCGCAGCTGGCAAGCGGCAGAGACGGAGCAGGCTGACCACCAGCTGGCCCAGCCCAAGGGAGGTAAGGCACCCACCAGAAAAGGGGGAAAAAATGGCGGACAAAAAAATGGTGGACAAAAAAAATGGCGGACAACCTTGCTTGGCGACCCCCATGAAATGGTCGATCGACCCCAAATGGGGTCCCGACCCACAGGTTGAGAACCACTGTTCTAAAGACTCCACAAATGGCTAAAAAAAATAATGCTGTACAATGACCATAAGGCAGAGATCCCCAACCTTGGCCACTTTATGACTTGTGGACTTCTCAGCCAGCCATGCAAGCTGAGGAATTCTGGGAGTTCAAGTCCACAAGTCATAAAGTGGCCAAAGCTGGGGACCCTGCCATAAGGAAAAACAAATGGCACCAAAGTCCAAACCTCCAAGAGTCTACCCAATTCAAGCAAGCCATCAATATAGAAGGGGGGGGAGAGGAAGATAAATTATTTTTAATTGGTTTTGATAATTGAATTATCATTTTATCTTTACTCACTAGTTAGATGAACGGCTATAAAAATGTTTAATTTGAACTGACCAAAAGCAGGACATGAAGGCTTCTGATTTCAAGATCCAGAGGTTCCTGACAATGGACACCAACAAGAAGGAGGGCAGGAAGGGTCTAGTCAGTGTCAAAAGTACTAGGATGAAATCCAGAGCATCCAAGAATTTATCAGTAAGATAGCACCCAAAATGAGAATGTTTGAGGCAGCAGTAAACATGGGAGGAATATCAAGAAGAGGAAGTGCTATGGCAAGACAAGACCCTGCATAGGACGTAACTTTGCAGATCATTGAGGTGGTTAACACTGAAAAATCTACCAGTGACTGAAAAGCACTGGACAAAAAGATAACACTTGATTATAGCAGTACAATAACAGGCACTAAGAATCAGATCCATAAAACAGGAATCTACCACAACAGACAGAACCCGAGATGCAGATTGTGCAGAGAGGCCTCAGAGGAATACATGGCAGCAATGTGTAAGATGCAAGCAGAAACAATACAGACTGAATAGCAAAATCTAGGAGCCAGCATTGTATGTAGAAACAGCAGCACAGTGTATGGACTAGACCATGGGTCGGCAACCCGTGGCTCCGGAGCCACATGTGGCTCTTTGAGCCTTCTCCTGCGGCTCCCAACCTCCTCCGCCATTTGCAGAGAGAGAGACAGAGGTAGAGAGAGGTACTTGCACCTACCTCTCTCTCTCTCTCTCTCTCTCTCTCTCTCTCTGTGTGTGTGTGTGTGTGTGTGTGTGTAGGAAGCAGCAGCAGAGAGAGAGAATGAGAACTCATGCACATCAGCCTCTATTTCTTTTTAATTAAACTCTTCAATCAAGCTCTCGCCCCCTCGTGTGTGCGCGCACACACACACGTTTTGCGGCTCCCAGTATTTTCTTTTCTCTGGGAACCGGGTCCAAGTGGCTCTTTGAGTGTTTAAGGTTGCTGACCCCTGGACTAGACCTTCCAAGTCCAGATGGAAGATTCCACAGAAGGTCATGGAGAATAAAAGGGTTAAGATCCTGCGGGACTTCCAGATCCAGGCAGATATAGATCAATCAACCAGACATCGTAGTAGTAGACAAGTATCAGAAGACAACAGTGATAGAAGTAACAGTGTCAAGTGACAGCAACATCAGGAAGAAAGAGTATAAGAAACTGAGAAGAATCAGAGAGGAACTAGAAAAGATGTGGAAAGTAAAGGTCTAAGCAGTCCTAGTCATGGTAGGAGCACTTGCGGGAATGGCTCTTACGCTGGCAGAGTGACTTCAACAGAGATTTCTAGATTCAGACATCCATAGCTTAGCTTTCTTACATTTCTCTTTTCATTTTCTGTATGTATTCTCAACTCTACCAATTCTTTTATA